AAGCCCCGACACCCCCACCCCAGCCCCTCACACCTGCTGCTGATTGTTGGGGGTGTAAGGCAGCATCGTGGACACGTGGAACATGACCTCGTGGTCCTGGTACACGGTGTACAGCGAGTGTGTGCCCGTGGAATCCGCTGGGACACAGGGAGAAAGGGCCGTCTGGGGGACTTGCCGACCATCTCTGCCCCGAGTCGGGAGCCTCGGTGCCCCCACCCCGCAGGTGGACAGCCCCTTCATGCCACCAGCCCGTGTCCAGGCCACGAGGCTTCCCTCCTTGGCGGCTCCCTTTCCCCTTCCCCCACAGGTTCCAGCCTCCAGCCTGGGGTCAGGTTGGGGTGTTGACAGAATGAAGACAGAAATAAGAAATGGCCTGCTAAGAGGGAGGCAGGACAGATGTCCTAGGGGAGGACAGATGTTGGCCAGGCACCAGCACGTGTGGAACAATGAGAGTGGAAGGCAGGCAGGAGGTGCTCCATAAAAACACCTCCCAGGGCCTGGGCCTGTCCGGCTAGGAGGCAGGCGCTCTCCGGAGTGGAATGTGCGTTTGATGGAGGGGGTGGTGCCTCCAGACCACCTTGGCCCCAGCTCAGTCCCAGCCCCTCCTCCAGCCCATGGGTTTGCCTGTACAGCCCCTGACCCATGTCCCCAGCCACCCAAGGAACTCTCCACTCCTGGCCCCACCCCTAGGACAATATGAGACAGAAAAGTGACAAGACAGTTGGTTCTCACCAAGTCATCCTGCCCCTCAGCACAGGGCTGTCCCCACCCTCCACCCCCAGCTTCCTGGGTCTCAGAGGATATTTTTCCATTGATTTTTCTTTTTTTTTAGAGAGAGTGGAAGGGAGAGGGAGAGAGAGAGAGAGAGAGAGAAACATCGATGTGAGTCCCAACATCGATTGGTTGCCTCCCACACGCGCCCCAGGGCTGGGGATTGAGCCTGCAACCGAGGTACGTGCCCTTGACCAGAGTCAACCCTAGGACCCTTCAGCCCACAGGCTGATGCTCTACCCACTGAGCCAAACCAGCCAGGGCTGGGTCTCACTTTTGGTGTCCAGCTGGGCCCGGTAGCTCTCAAAGCCTTTGAGCCGCACCACGTCGCCCAGCAAGGTGAGGAACTGCATGAAGGCGGGTCCTGCCTCCTGGTTGTTGTACATCTCCTCTTCCGAGCCCTGGCCCGCCCGGCAGTACAGGATGCCCACCTTGCGCTGGAAGCTCAGCTGGGGGACAGGGAAGGCACAGGCAGAAGACACAGGCCTCAGTCCCCCCGCACCGGGTCTTGGGGAATGGATGGGACGCTGGCCTGGAGGCCGGGCTGCCCTGATGCCCAGCCCTGAGCGCCGGCCTCTCTAAGCCAGCTGTGTCCTCGCCCATCAAGTGGGTTTTGTGTGTCCGCTCCCAGTGCTCAGGAGGGTAGAGGAGGTCCCAGGTGGGACAGCACTGGGAGGGGTTGGCTCTCCTGTGTCCACAGAGGAGATGATTCATGGACAGAATCCTAAATACCGTGCACTCATCTCGATATACATTCACATCGTCATCCTCCTCATCTCAAAGCTAGCCTGTCCCCTGCTCCCTCAACCCCAGCACCCCCACCCCAGCCTCTGGCGGCCTTGCATCCCAAACCACCTCTGCTCCCTGTGTGCTCCCGGCTCCTTTCCATCTGGGGTTCACTGCACAACTCAAGGCACTGTGGCCCCACACAAACAAGACCCATCTCCCTCCAGCTCTGGGCTCCCTTCTTCCTGCTAATCCTGTCTAACCATCGTCCTCACTTTAATTTCACCCCCCGCCCCGACTCCTGCAGCCCCACTTCCACCCCAGCTCCTAAACCGCGACTCCCTCCCAAATCCATCGGATCTTAAAGCACCTGCTCTCAGGCAATAGGTCTGGGCCGGGCCCAGTACCTGCATTTCTAACAAGCTCCCAGGTGATGTGGATGCTGCTGGTCTAGATCTTATTTATAGAGGCCGGGCTCCAGATGACCTCTGCTACCCTCTCTGAAAAGCCAGCTTCGCTGGGGTTACATTCCTGTCCAGGATCAAGGTCAGGGCTAGGTGTACGAGAGCTGGGCAGGCTGGGTTCAGACCGGGTCTAGGGATAGGGCTGGGGGTGCCCCGGCCACTCACCACTTGCTCGTCCAACGTGAGCAGTGTGCGTGGCACCTTCGGTGAGGCTGAGCCGAGGCGCAGGCAGGTGGGGCTCAGCCTGGGCGCCACATGCTCCAGAAGCTTCCTCGGGGACAGGCCCCTCGGGGGCCCTGGAGGCAGCACCTCCTCCGAGATGGTGCCACGGAGGGTCCGGAGCTGAGGAGAAAATGGAGGGGCGCTCAGAATACATACGGGTTGTTGAGGATGACATCCGCGGTCTGACCCCATGACCCTGGCCCACCTGCGTGGTCCGCACGATGATACGGTAGCTGTGCAGAGTGCCCCCTGCGCTGCCCTCCTTCTCCTCCCGCCGCAGGCTCACTGCCACCGGGCCCAGCACCTCATCCAGTCCGAAGAAGTTCTGGTGTTCTGAGGGGCCCCAGACAGTGGGGTGACTAGTCCTGCCGCCCGCCCAGCAGTCCGCCCTCATTGGACCACACCCACCACCAAATCCCTCTCTTAGGCCCCAACTCATCACCTAGTGCAGACCCTACCAGTGGTTCTCAACCTTCCTAATGCCGCGACCCTTTCATACAGCTCCTCATGTTGGGGTGACCCCCAACCATAACATTATTTTCGTTGCTGCTTCATCACTGTCATGTTGCTACTGTTATGAATCGTCATGTAAATATCTGATATGCAGGATGGATTTTCATTGTTCGCGACCCACAGGTTGAGAACTGCTGCCCTAGACTAAGGCCCACCCCTCCTAAGCCCGCCCACATTTTACCAAGCCCAGCACCTGCCCTAGACCCCAGGCCCTAAGCCCCTCCCCGCTGCATCCCGACCTATCACACCTTGTCCCGGATCCAGGGGGCCAATGCCTGCCTTCTCCTCGCCTAGACCCTGACAGGACCCTGCCCACCAGCTCACAGTCTCCAGGATGTGTGGGGCCCTCCCTTCTGGACACAGACAAGAATCAGGTTCTGGTTTGCGGGGTTTTCAGGCCTCAGTGTTCACCTCACCGAGACGCAGATAGGAAATCTCTCCCCAGCCCAGAGGAGTCTGAGGCGGAACCAGATGGAAGGAGAGGGGCGTGCCTGGCGGTGGGTGGAGGCGGGGTTGGCTAGGGAGGTGGTTAACGCTGGGCCCAGCAGAGCAGCCCTGGCCCAGCGGCCCAGCCTAACCCTTGTCTGGCCAGGGACTTGACAGGGAAAGGCCGGCTCTCGAGTCTTACTGTGTGCACCGCAGTGACGGGACCGCCGCCCTGCCTGGGGCCTGCCCTCACCTTTGTTGTAAAAGTACTTGCGGTAGTAGCCGGCGCCCAGGTCGGCGTGCTCCAGGCTGTAGGCTGAGGTTCGGTTCTGTGGCTCCTCCAGGACCGACACGGCCGCGTTGGGCAGCGCGGGAGGCACGGGCGGGGACACCGGTCCACCCAGGCCCAGCTCGCCCTCACCCCCGAGCTCACTCACAAAGCCAGGCTCCTCAAGCAGCAGGTCTGAG